CCCCAAAACCCCAAAACCCCAAAACCCCAAAACCCCTTCGAATCTTCAATTAATGAAATTTAAAAATCATCAAATATTTTTTGCTCTTCTTCATTAAGTTTCTCGTCATCTGCGAAGTCGCTCTCATTATGGATCCCTCAAGTTTCTACGAAGCTGAGAATATCGTTGAGCTCATCAATGCCTAGTTTACATTTCGACTAAATGTTAGCTCATAAGATGCTTACTTTCTTTGTAAAACTGTCAAGATATTCAGCCTCATCTTCAAAGTTATACCAATTAATGGCGCTATGTTGCTTAATCTCTTCTGTTTGTCTATTGGCACCCAGGCGTTCCTCATGATTAGGCTTAAGAAGGTTGTTCATGAGATCGATTAAATTATTTTGCTGCTCATTTAGAACTTTTCCAAGATTCTCTTCGATGAGCTCTAGCTGTTCATCATTATTAATCCCTTCTCTGGTTTTAGTAAAGTATTCTAGTCTCTTTTCCTTATCTGCAATAGCTTGGAGGTATCCGTAAGGAGGCTTTCCAAGTAATAATTCATGAATCAAGACTCCAATAGCGTAAAGATCGATGTTGTGATTATACCCAGGAAGGTTTTCTTGGTCAACTTTTCCTGAGTTAAGAATGCTACTCTCCCACACATCAATCATTTCAGGAGCCATACTATGGAAAGTTCCAGCAGGGATATAACTTCTTTCACCAGACTCAAGTTTTTCAACCATTCCAAGATCAATGAGAGTAATTCGAGAGTTTTTATCCAAGAATACATGTGAAGCCTTAAGATCTTTGTATACATATCCATTCGACTGTAAATATTCAAATATTTCAATCAGCTGGCAAATTATCACAGAGACAAGTTCTGCTGGTAATTTCTGATGCGATTGGAGGATAGTTGATAATCCAATTCCTTTCGCAAGGTCTAAAATCAACCCGATGTTATCATCGTCTTTAAATGTTCCTCTGAGCTTGATGATTTTGGGATGATCTATCTCAGCCAGCACTTTCTTTTCATTAAGCACACTTTGTACTATAGATTTGTTCTCCATGATTTTCTTCTTATCATAAACTTTGATGATATATCTTTTGTCGTCTTCAATATTCTTAACGAGGCTAACCTTTCGATAAGGGCTCTCACTGAGATTTTTGATAAGAGTATACCCTTCTGGCACGAGAGGCTCCATGTTCAATAAATTTTATCAAATATAATTTGATAATCTGGGGTTTTGGGGTTTTGGGGTTTTGGGGTTTTGGGGTTTTGGGGTTTTGGGG